TCAGAATCATTAAATATAATAAGTTGTTCAAACTTATACACATTAATTCACAATGCATAAAGGATGTAAACTTGTTTGGCACTAAAAATTGGAAAAATAATTGGTTTGAAAAATGCAAATAAGGTTCGCAACCGTAATAAAAGTTTCGAAATTAAAATAAAAGGGTTTTTCTCTCAATAGTCACAAAATAGTTTATTTCTTTTGTTCTCTTACATGTAGAAAGTTGAAGCAATAAACTCGGACAGGTTTAATTCTATGTAGTTGGCAATACGATAACAAAAATTCATGCGTGTAATCAATATTTGCTTTCTATTTCACATTCTTCGACGCTATAACTCGTTACAGGCTTTGACAACCTCAGCAGTACTGATTAACGTGACCTCTAATTACACTTAAACCTGGAAAGCTTTCTTTACTCAATTTAACTACTTAGTAGGTGGCCTTTCTCTTTTCTACGCTCCGTTAACTTGCCGATATTGATTGTATTTTAATCATGAGTTCTAACAATAAGTCTTAAGAATTAATTGTATTCTGACTATTTTCATTTTTACGTAATTTCAGATGGGCTAAATGTATTTCTCCCACTTTCCCAGCGTGCCTTCGTGTTGTAGTGGTTTTGCACGCTGGGCCGGTATTCCAGAGGTCAGTGTTTTGATTCCCGGCGAAGGCGTTGCTAATATTCCATCTCTCCTGCTTCCAAAAACACCTAATGTCTGTACAACCTTATAGTTTGTAAAATTTAAGATCGACCTTTAGCAAGGAAAATAATTTACGGAATCTGGGCATTAATTTCTTGCTTTTAAAAATTTTAATTTGTGTTAAAGTTCATATAAGTTTATTCTCATTGCAACAACATGAAGTCTAAAGCGTTTATACAATTTAAACTTTGTTTCTAACAATATAAATGAATTTAAAATTATTTTTTAAACTATTATTGCAAGTACTGCTCATAAACAATCTATTAATATCTTATGTACTGATATCATTACTGACTAATTAAAAATGCTAATACATAACAAAGTAGAACAAACACAAAGGAAAAAATTAATTATCAGTATATGAAGACATTGGAGTATAAAGAGTAGCTTTCATGCTTCTTTCTTCTAACAAGTTCAACATAAATTGAACAAACACATACACGTTTGAACGTTGTCTACGCAATGCTAGTTTCTCTTTCTACTACTCCTGTTACTTATAATCGGCATCACATAGTATAAATTTAACTGCGATGTTGGGCGGAGTATCATTATTGGATTTTTGATTAATAAAAGTGAGATTCGGTTTCAGATTCATTCGGACTTAAAAATGAGCTTAGAACAGTATCTCTGTCTCATTCTGCAATATATGACCAGCGAATAGTCTTTGAGGGACGAGAACTGAAACTATCTATGTGCTCGTCGGCCGAGATCCTGGATCGATGAAAACAAGTCGATTGCCACTGATATCGGTGCATTAAAAAATTATGAGTTTTATTTTAAATTATCGAGTTATGTAAAAGTTTCAATTACAACTATATATAACAGATGACACTGCAATTTAGAATCATGAATATACGGCACGGCTCTGCTCTTGTATATCAACATTGTCACAGATCAGCACTAAGCATTCCGAACAGCATTTGTCCAAATATGGAAAAAAGGCAGAATTGTGTGCTATTATTCATGCAGCAAAATTTTGCAATAGGCATGAGTTCATCTATTTTCATGCCCTCTTTACATTTCCCTTCATTTGTAAGATATTTTCTCCCTCCTTCATATGTGCATTCGAGCTGTTATTGGGAAAATGTCTGGCTGATAATCAGAAGATCCAGCGTTCGCAAAAGCATTGCATATTTTATCATGTTTTTGCTTTAAAAACCCAACAGCTAAATAACAGCACTCAAACTAAAGGTGGGTTATAGCTCGTCATCACCCGGATTTGGCTATTGGATCCGCTCTTCCTCAGTCGCCTCTTTAAGTGACTATAGAGGTAAGGTATTTTCCCCTAATCAATGTGTGATTTCGTAGTGTAATTGGAAGCACGTGCGGCTAGCATCGGGAGGACTGACTTTCGCATCCTGGCGAGGATTTTGCACACTTTTTTTTTTTTTTTTTTGTTTTCTCGTTCAACAAATCTATTGATTCTATACATTGTTTTGTGATTTCTGAGTTATTTATGCTGGAAGGAGCACTACTTCATATTGCTTCTGTAAACGACTCATCTTTGAACATTTCTGGAGGTAAGCTGTAATTTTTGGCATAAATAACAACCAAAATCTCTGGAGTAGGAAATGTTTTGCTCTGGAATTACATGAAGTTATGCAGAAATCACTCGAGGTCACTTGACAGCTTCACAACCCCATCAATTAAATACATTTAAAGAAATGTTATTTCTACTTTTCATATGCCGTAACACATTTTCAGGGTCTACTCTGGCTGCTTTCATGAATGAAGGACATAACTGCAATTAAAAAGTTTGCATAATACGTTTCCTTAAAAAGGGATATTTTATGCACTGAGTTAAATTCATCACCATGTATTGCATTAAATACAATTTTTAAGCGTTTTCTGACTTTTGGACGGCTTTTCATATAGGAGGTCAGTTCATGGACATAATTAGAAAGGGTAACTATTCCATATTTGTTGTACCTGCGCGTATATATTTTTCTACAGATATTGGACAAATTGATCCTTCCTCAAATCAGAGGAAATTTCTGCTTTTGCTCAGACTTTGTGCATAATCATTTTCAACTCTGGCTCTTTAAAGTAGTTGATAGTTAATAACTTAGAGAGTAGAATAGCACAAGTGCTTTGCAGATAGGTTACGGAGGGCTCATTGAAGACAATTCTTTGTGTATGCAACGCGTGATAAAGTAGACCAGAAGGATACATCACTTTTTAGTAATTACTTTTACGCAGATTTTTGTGAAAAATAAGTTGTATTAGTTCAGTCCTAGTGTTTGCGAGAAGTTATTCTGTTCAGCACTTGTCTGGGGCGTAGAAACAAAGCATGAAAATACGCTAGGTGGCGAATAATCCATATTGGTGTGCATGATAAGGATGAAGATTGTTCAGTGTGTTAATTAACACCCATATTATTGTCAAAAACGTGTTGAAGAGACTTTTAATTAATAATATGTTCCGAATTTTTTTTTAAGTAACCTCAAACAGTTTTCAAAATCTTCAAATAAAGAGAAGTTACAAACATTTTTTGTAAACGCAAAGTCTTTGAAATACTAATTCTTTATATTTTTCACTAATTTGTCAATAAAAATCAATTTTCTTGTTGATAATTCTTTCTATGTGACCCACATAAAAATTTTAGTTTCTTATAGTTATGATAAAAAGCATCTATTGACCAAACCTTTCATTAGTTCAAATTTCTCCTTTGTATGGTTTCTACTTTGTACTTTTTGTTTCTATATCGTAAACTGTAACATCGGGATCCCGATCAGTCATTCAACAGATATTTAATCATGCAGTCTTTTTAGGACATCACGTACGTACTGTAGTTTTGAAGCAGGAAAGAAGCTTTCCGTTAACGGTGTTGGAAATAAAATTGGAATTTTTTAAAGAATTAGTTTTTGTGTTCAGTGTGCGATTTTCTTTCGGTTCAAGACGCTTGATGACTTTTTACGATTTTACTTCAAGACGTAAGATGACTTTTTACGATTAATCACTTTATTATTTAAATTATCAGAAGTACGAGTTTTCCCTTTGCATGGATTAGTTAAAATTATATAATAATTAATGTCCAATTTAACAATCTTAAAAGGTTTGAAATATTGCAAATAAAATTATATAATAATTAATGTCCAATTTAACAATCTTAAAAGGTTTGAAATATTGCAAAAAATTAATTGGCTACGCATTAAATGTTTGAAATTTGTAAAAATGCTTTAAAAAAGAAAAATCTGTGAACAATAAACAAAGTTCAACAGTAGTCTTCTGACGATCTAAATACCAGACTTAATTTTCAAGATTTATCCTATTACTCATTCAATGCTTATAAGATACCATATGATTATAAATTAGACCCAGTTTCAGTATAAATTATTATTCCTTCTAATTCCGAAACAAATTATTATTTTACTTGACTATGTAACGTGGATACGAGCTAGTTCACCTTAGAAAGTCCTTTACGAAGGTAGCCATCTCCATCAGGCACATAGTCCTTTCATGCTTTGCCATAATCAAATAAACCAAACTAAACCAAGAGCACGATTATCAGAGATTAGAATAACGCACTTAATTTAACAGTGTCCGATAGGCGATGTTACGCGCATATATCTTTCGACAGAAAACTACTTAGAGTGTATTGTCCTAAGAAAAAAAAGATCCGAAAATTTTAAAGAATGTAAAAAACGGTCTTTAGTTTAAAATTTATATTATCATAAAAATAAAGTCAGTACTTTCTATGAGAAAATATTTCGTTGCACTACTATAGCTACGTTTTTCATTTTTTCCACTTGCCAGTTTGTCTATATCTTCAATGAGCAACTTTGGAGATATTAATAAGGGAAAAACCTGTTATTTTATCTTCAATGTCAAATGAACATTGGAAAAGTAAAGTGAATACCACACGGTGTTACGCATACTCAGGACTCTTATTGTATCTTGACCTCATAATCTTTCCAAAAGCAGCATAGCCTGGAGATTGCTAGCGAGAAGGTCAAACGAGGCCGCGAACCTTGTTTTGACCTAGCATCTCTAAAACGAGCAACTTCTAGTCGAGGAATAAAAGGAAAATTTATTTTTAGAATTAAGCAAATGTATGAATTGTACAGTGCTGTTAAACAGATGTTGGTTTTTCGGATGTATTTAGAAAAAACTTTATTTTGTACTTAAATAATTTTTAGCTTATTTACTTACAATCAGTTTTTGGGCATTTTATTTAGTTCCAATCAAAAGGAAATACTTACATATAAATATGAATTAATATCATAAATATCAAAATATCATAAAAGTTGCTTCCATAAAGTAACCAGAAAATTTCTTATAAATACGAAAAATATTACTAACCTTCAAATAAATTTATCTCTGTTTCTAAAGTTGCTCAAGAAAATCGCCAGAGGAATCTACGCAATTTTTCCAGTGTCTCTTCAAGTCATCAAAACTTTGTTTATAGCCGCTGAAACTAACCGCTAACTTTTGATTTAATATCCGACGCATTTTCAAATCTGCACGCTTTTAAGGCCATCTTAAGCTTCTGGAAAAGGAAAATATCATCTTGTTACAAGTCAGAAGAATACGGTATTGATTTATCACTGCAATTCAATACTTAGCAAGATATTATTGTGCATACAATGCTGTATGGGGCGAAGCATTATAGTGTAAAAGAAACCATTGCCAAGAACCAAAAAGTTCCTTCTTAACTCACCTTACTTCCTTGTAAAAATACTGATTAATTGATTGATTTCCAGGGATAAATTCATGGTGAATAAATTCTTTGTAATCAAAAAATCCAATTAGTTTTATCTCAGTCTTTGATTTCGACATCCGTGCTCTTTTTTTAGTCCAAAGGGGCGTTGTCCTTGAAGGGCTATTGTTCTCGTTTTGCGATTTTGCTTGGAATCACTATAAACGGCGTATCATTTTTCAAATTGTTGCCACCAAATGTTAGAGACCTGCATTATATTTGAAGATATTAAATAATGAAGAATCTAAATAAAATATATGTATGTTTCTTGCATTGTGATGAAACAACGGTATTTGGAGCTATCCAATTTTGAATGACGTAATCCTACTGCGAATATGGGCATCTGAAAACCCAAATTTGAAATTTGAAATTTGCTTTATTATCGATTTCATATTTTGTTAAACTTTAACGAATTTTTGATTAGCAAACCCAACGATTTAAAAGCGAGCAATGGCAACACTCTACGGTGAAAAAAAAAAAAAAAAAACTTTTTTTATCTCCAGCGCGCAGAACTGTGTATCGGAAATTCTAAAGATATGCTCATTTTAAAATTATTTTGCGACATTGCTATTGAACTGAATTTTATGGTTTAAGTGAAAGAACATGATATTTAACAAATAAAGGTAGCACACAAAACGTTAAAAAACGAACCTTTGGACGTAATTTAAAATCTGAAATATTTCAGATTTTTTTTTTTCTTTTTTGGCATGGCAGAAGACCGTCCTTTCCACTATGCACTTTATGTTTTTGGTTTTAAGTCGTATTGTAGGCACCAGATCTCATCTCCCACTATGATACACTACGAATTTGTTATCCGGTCTCGCAGAAGTCAGTAAATCCTCACAGCAAGCTTTTCTGCCTCCTTTGTACTGTTTTGTCAAACTCGAAGGCACACATCAAACGCAAACTATTCTCATTTTCAGATATTCAATTAAAATTAACCTACAGCTTTCTTCACTTTTCTCAAGTTTTGAGTTTTACGCTTCTATACGCTTTTATTCAAAGAACGAATTTTCTCCACATTTTCCTTATTCTTTGAAGTTGGAGGGTGCCGTATCTTTGGTTTGTCTTTAACGTTTTCGAAATCACATTTAAAGCGGTATTTGTGCTCTTTATAACATTGCATCATCCTATATTGTTCAAATCATTTCTTATGTTTCGGTGTCAAATTTATCTACTTTGTAATAAAATTCAATGGTATAATGTTGTTCCATCTAGAATCAATTTTTTTTTTGTAAATGGAAATGTCTCTGGCGTTTCTATATGCAGATGACAAAATAATCAATTTAAACTGGCTTGAATAAGAGATTCCACTCTTTCTAAACATTTATTCTTTCACCTTTCATTTTATCGTTTTCTCTTTTAATTTGTCTGGTCACTTTATGGGTGTACCTTGCACTTTTATTTCTTTCAGAAAGTCTTTACATTTAGCGATATAAACATATATTTAATATTCATGTACGAGCAACTTAGGAATTATAGAATTCATATGATCATTTTAGCACTAATTTAACACTAATTGGATTGAATTATTTTATATGACGACGCATAAATGCTATGTATATAGGAAGGGATGAGTGCACAGAGAAGTTTGTCTGACAGTTAGGCTTTATTGAAGCTACACATGAGGGAAACAACAAAACTTTCAGTATGTAGATTAGAATAAGAAAAATACAATTACAGTTCCACTTTGTTTTATTGGTTTATTTTTTAAATATTATTATTGGCCGGAAGACCTTTTTACGTCACGTAAGTGCATCAGCTATGAGAATTATAAAAGGGTCGTGTGAAAAAGATTTATTTTGAAGTGACGCCGTTCAAACAGATTTATTGTAATTAAATTACTAACTAGCAGCTAAGCGGCCAGCCTTCGTCTGGCTTTTAAATGTACCGGAAAAATGCCTGAAGGGAACGCCAAACCTTAAATTTAAAAACTGAGCAGAATTTTACTCTGCAGAACAACTTTATCAAAAAACAAAAACAAAACGAAAACAAAAACAAAATTATTACATATAACAAAAGGTGCTACTTTGGTAGACGGTTGCACGGATTTTGGCGATTTTTTTTTGGGCGAGCGATACGACTTATGGTAAACCCATTGCTGGACAAGTTATTTGTGGTAACCGATACTTTGTTGTCATTTTATTCTAAAAAATAATGCGTTTTATTATGCCTAAATTCCGTGTTTTAAATATTATTTATGGCTTCTAAATATTAAAAATCAATTTAATTTTGCATTTTTATTTGAAATAAAAATTTTATTGTTTATGATATTTTGTATAATTTATTTTGTAGATGATGTAATCACCTTGACGTCACCTTGCTTTAAAAGTAATTGGTTTAAATATCTATAAATTTAATCTAATGTTTTAAACATTATTTATGGCTGTTAAATATTAAAATACAATTTAATTTTGCATTTTTTTGAAAAATGATTTTATCATGTATGATTATTTAAATATATTTAATTCTAGGCGGGATGTAATCAGCTCCCTGATTGGTTACAGAATATTTGTGCATTAACGAGCTGTAATCAGCTCCCTGATTGGTTACTGAATATTTGTGCGTTAGAGCTCCATTTTAAAATTTTATTATTCATCTCTTCGAATTCCTTAGATTTCATAGGAAATGAATATGTCGCTCTCAAAGATTAATGTGGTTATTGTTAAGAACCAAGAACGTTTGGTATCGGAATAAAAAATTTTCCTTTGAGACCTTATTTTGGCCAACCTGGCTTTCCTAATTTAAGATTTATTTATAAATTGCTACAAGGACCAGAGGAAATTTATTTAAAATTTTTGGAGGAAACCTTGCTAATTGCTTCTTTAATGAAGTGCGAGAAATGTGGATCACAGATGAAGATCGTTAAAAGAGCCGATTCTGAGGACGGCTGTATATGGTATTGTGGTCACGGTGGAAGAAATAACCTCTGTAACGGTAAAAATGTATTAGACATTCCAAATTTTTTACCTCCTTTTTTAAACTAATTGCTGTCATTTTAGTTCTAGTGTACGAAGCATTCTTATTGACTTATGTTAAAGTATTTGAATTTAAGTATTATTTTAATTCTTCTAAACATAGTTATGATGGTTTTTAATTCGATATTCAATTTACGTAGCATTTTAATCCAATTAAACGTTGGCCCAATGTTTTTATAACGGTGTTTTTATTCTATTTCTTTGCTATATAAAAGTAATATTTTAACCTTACTTTAGTATTTTATACTCGTAGTAAATGTATTTATTTACATTTGCCTGCTATCTTAAAAAACAACGTTTTCAACAAAAAATTAATGCACTATTTTTAAAGATATTTATTTTTTAAAGTTTCCAATAGTTTTTCTATGCGCAAAATACGTAAAAACAGCGTTTTTCAAGATGGCTGACGATTGTAAAAACCGTGCCAACAATTGCGCCAAAGTAAATCGCCAAAAATCCGTGCAGCCGTCTACCAAAGTAGCACTTAACAAAATTACAATGAAATAAGCAATATGCCTTAATACAAATATTAATTATCCTAATAAATAAATTAACCAGCTTCCCGTTGCCTTCTCTCAACAAGCGTCCAGTATCCAAGAGAAACATTAAATTTAAAAACTGCACAGAATTATCACCTTCATTTCTCCGAGTGGCAATAGTGCTTATTTGCAATAGTCAGCAGTCCAATATACAATTGAATGAAAAACTGTCGCCAAAACTCCATTTCTAAAAGAATGAAACTGTTCAAAATGATGCGATGAAATCGAAAAGATAAAATAAAAAAATAAAAAAATTCTGATTCGAATTTTGAAAACATCGCTTCGTGGTGCACTGGTTCTTGTCTAGATGCACCTATATACCAAATTACGTAGCCCTGGGTCTATTAGCTTACGCTCAGCATGAACGAAAGGCACACAGACTCTTTCTTTTATAATATGTAGAGATTTTAGAATAGAAAACGGAAATAAACAAATTGAAAAGCATACTTAAAAGCCCTGCTGAAATTAATTAAAATTTTAAACAATAAAAAATTAAAATGTGATTTTGCATGTTTTTTGTTTTACATACATACACACATCTCATCACATATGTGCAATAAAACTTGTATTGTTTCAACTCAAACAGTTCTAAATTTTTTATAGGTCGAATTGACTGGTCCAAATATTGGTTAAGTTGAGCTATTTTCAAACCATCCTCTGTTTTTTTATATATTTCCTTCTATGTAAGCTGAAGTCATGTTTTCGACAATTAGTGCAGGTCCTTGTCAAACACCCTTTATGGAAACCATCAATATGGAGCAATTTTCCTTTTCTATTTTTCTGGTTTACCAGTAACTCAGGGGTTAAGACCACTGAGCATGGTAAATCGACGCGGGTTCAAATTCCAGGAATGGACGGGTTGCAAGAACGTTTTATATTTTTTCCCATGGAAAAATTAAAAATCTATTTCCATTAATAGTTAATAGAAACCAATTTCCATTAGAAAATTTCCCACGAAGTCATCCCTTTCTTTAGCTATCTGCATAGTCAGCTAGGGCATGACTATGTCGGCCATAGCTGACTTCTGCCATAGTCAGCTAGGGCATGATTATGCAGATAGCCCTAGCATAGTCATGCCCATATCATACAACAGTCTTACTGTTAAAAGCTACATTCTTATGCTTATATTATTGTTATTATCTCATTATTTAATATCTATCAAAACGTTAAAAAAAAGGGGGGATTTTTTTTATTTTAATTCTGTGTCAGAATTTTTTGCATATCGAAATAATTATCATTATTAGCATTCATGATAATTTTTTTCTTACTTTGA